AAGTCAGTAAGCAGAACTGGCACATGAGTGGACACCTATCTGTGGTCCTCACAGGCTCTGCCTGGTTTTTTTTTTCTTGTTTTCCTCCTCTAAACCTAGGTGCGTCTTATGGAGTGACAAATACAGTATATGCTCTGACCCAGACTTCCGTAGAAAGCAAAAAGCAAAGTCTTAGTCCCTACAAAGCCTCTTTTATTTACACAATTGTGAATTCCTTTCATTCACAGTCAGCAAGACTTAGCAAACAGTCTTTCAGAGGAATATTTATCAACACGAACTTTATCTCGTTTGGAGAGTGCCAGATAATTAGATGTAAACACAGGGAAAAGCAAAACTTGGCACAGAGTCTCCTAAAGTCACACTTTCCACTCTCGAACCGACCAAATGAATGAATTGCTTCCTGCAAAATCCCACTCCCTCTTTGTTCCTCTTTTGTTTCCTATTGGAGGGGCCAATCACCTCCAAGGTGTGTGTTTACATCTAAGTCGACCCTGCTTTCTTAATTGTTCTTGTCTTCTGGCAGCTCTGCGCATGCGTGCACTGGAAACAGGCTCCAGCTGTTCTTCTGCCTCACTGCTGTCTAACTCACTCTCTGCCTCCGACACAGAGCCCTCGTCCGAGTTTTCCACAACCCTCAGGACTGGCCCATGTTACTCCTCAACCTCCTCACTCTCTGACTCTGCTGCCAGCTCCAGCAGAGTTTATACTCTTGTGGTGGGCTCCCCAACAACCTGGGTCCTCATTAGTGGAGAATGGTGAAAAATGGAAGGATTTATATTCTTTGCAGTCATTTGGTCATTAGCACTCTTTCTGAGAGTCATTGAGGCCACTTGGAAGTTGATTTGTGCCCTCAAGGTCACCTGCACAGTGCAAATGGATGTGGAGCCTTTTTGGAACTGCTGAAAGGACAGTATTGTAAATAGAATGAGAAGTGAAACATCTTCAAGGAGGAAAAAAAAGTCCAGTTGCCCCTTGAAACAGCACCTTTGGGGCCTGGATTTGATACATCCAAGAGAGAAAACAGAACAATAGCTGACCTCATATTTAAGCAAATATAGATATTAACTTTTGAGTGTGAATTAACAACTTGGAAAAGCATCACCTAAAGGGTGAAAAAGCATTTTTCTATGGAATCGGACATCACTGCGGTTTGAGATATTTTGGCTTCATGAAATCTTTGCAGCATCCCTTAATTTCATCTTTTATGACTGCTGATTTTTATGACCACACACTTTCCATAATAAGCAAGAGAATATTTTTTCTCCCCCTCTTCTTTTAAAAGGGGTGATGTGCAATTCGTTTCTTTGGAGGGTTGGATTATTCTACGCAGTTAATAAACGACAGAGAGCAGATGGTTCCTTTCCTGCTGTAATTCTTGCAGGAGCTGTATTAAAAGTAGGAGAACATGTGTTTCATTTGGACTGTCCACTGATGGTCATTCTCTAAACAAATTGATTACCTGTGCTGCATTTCAAACACAAAGGACGTGGTGTGAATGTATGCATAAATATTGTGTATATTATGCAAACAGACCAGCTTGTAACGGTTTAAAGTTTCATTTAGATGTCTAGAGCCAAATATTTCCTGAACATTTCTTTTCTATTTCAACATACGGTAATAGCTCAGTGCATAGTGTTTCATATATCATTTGCAATAGGGATTCCTGAACGCTCGTGAAGGTAGAAGCGCAGTAAGATCATTCAAAGAAGGTGTAGCAAGCTATAATTGTAATACAGCCAAGTCCTTTAACTGAGATTTAGCGGGCTGTGGAAAATGTAATCTTACCCTTCTTGTTCCCAGCAAGATGATTTGTAACTATATGGGTAATCAACACTCTCCAGACACTGTGCATTCTGCATACGAATTTGCTGTGGAAGTTGGGAGGATGGCAGGGCGCGTTGGTGTGTTGCTGTTGTGTGTTTGTTTATTTGCAAGGCTTATAGGGCACTCCGTCTGCCAACTCTGAGCAGTATACAATTCCCTAAGAGGTCATTTGGATTAAAATCATACCATCAATTAAAGCAACCTCTAGAAGTATTCCTGTGGAACCAGGAGTCACAACTAACAATCTGTCTGTCTGTCTGCCTGTCTGTCTGTGTGTGCGTGTGTGTGTGTGTTCATGAGAATTAATGAAGCTTTTTGGATGAGAAGTAAAATGTCATCTTCTTCATGAAAAAAACATAATTTAGTTGCCTTTATAAAAAGCACCTTTGAGGCAATCATTACCTGGATGGTTGAAAATCTCCATAGACAATTTACCTGTGCCATTTAAACAATAACATCTCTCTGTCTTAGTGCCTTGGGAGGGGGACATAAATGTCAAATGCAGTCCAAACATCTGGCTGTCTGATCAATCATCATAATAATGATTCTTGACCAGCTGCAGCTTCCAAATCCTCTTCAAGGGTTGTCCCAGGTAAATTGCATTGCAGAATTCAGTCCAGAAGTAACAATAAGTGACACCTGCTATTTCAATAAAAGTTGGTGCACTAGATGGAGCTGAGTGAAGTTTTCCTTAGCTGTGGCTTTCTCCTGCTCCTGAAGAAGGAGCTTTCAGTCTAAGAAGACACCAGATTGGGGGTCTTCTTCACCCAGAGGAGGGCAACATGGTTCAGATTTAATTATAAATCACATTGAAGGTAGCCAGCCTTTGAACTGCCTCTCCTCCATTTTGTTGGGTGGAATTTCAGCCTTTTTGTCCACCAAGCACCTGGACTGAACATAATGTGGTAATAATGAGCAGGTAGNGAAGGGAACAGCTAAACAACAGAGGTCAACTTTGGAGTAAGGCCACAGGTGGAAGATGAGTGACCCCTCCCAGAGGAACTAAAAGAAGAGCAAAAGGGGAGTGGAGTTTGCAGGAGACAATTAGTTCGCTTCATTGGTTTGTAACTCTCTGAGACTCCTTGCCAAGTTTTGCAGATATTAGCCTGTCAGCTGTCCAAGCCAGATAAGGTCTGTGACTGTAAATCCTCCCTTGAAAAGACTTTGATAGATGTGAATGAGCAGAATTCACAGCAAATTAATAAAAGGGTTTGTTTTTTTTTGTCGGGACAAGGCGTTTGCTTCATGCTCTTGGGAAACCTTGGTCAGAATACTAAGGTTGAGAAAGACAGGTATAAATCAAGAAAGGAGGCAGCTCAGAATAGGATGGTCTCAACTTAAAATGGAGCTCGCTCAGAAGCTGAAATACAGCAAGTAAATGAGATGAAGATTGGGAAGAAAAGGAGAGAGGTAAGCAAAGAGGGAGATAGGAGATAGGGCATGGGGGGAAGGAGAGAAAGAAGGAGTGGAAAGGGGAGAGAGGAGAAGAAGAGAGGAGGGGAAATTAGAGAAGGATGACAGAGGGAAGAAAGGAGGTAGGGAGGCGGGAGGAGAAAGGGAGAAGAAAGTGATGAATAAGGTACAAACATGGTGTATGGAAAGCAGAAGAGCCAATAATTGTTTTTGGGAGTTGATGGTAAGATGAATTGATGTAAACTTTTAATAATACAATACGATGCTGACTATGTAATAATATACATGTAATTATATGTTATGAAAATGAAAAAGTAAAAAACTTTACAAAAACAATAGGATGGTCAAGATTCCAGGAACTATTTTTAATTGGTTTTATTTAATTAGCTTAAACAAAAAAAAAGTAAAGGTTTCCCCTGCTCAGTTCTACATTTGGGATGGTGCTCATCTCCATTTCCTAGCCAAGGGAACCATTATTCTCTGTAGACCATTCATTTGCCTGATAATACAATCTTATAGCAGATTCTCGACCAGTTCAATAGTGGGTTCCTACCAATTTGGATCAATTTGGCCGAACCTGTAATGGTATGGCAGCCAAGGTTGCTGGAACGAGCATCCACCCAGGCCTGCCACACCCCCGAACCAGTTCCCCGGTCTCTTCTGCTGTTGACGGCATGTTTCTGCGCATGAGCAGAGCAGTTTTCAGTCAACTGTGCATGCACAGCAATGCGTGACGGGCGTGCACACGAGCGAAGCACGCAGCACACATGCAAAACGCCCTCTCAGCAAACTGGTAGCAAACTAGTTAGGAACCCACCACTGCACTAGTTATTATAAAACCTTTGCTGCTAATTCTTTGTGATCTGTTAGCTTTTCTGTAGAGGATCTTTCTTAAGGAGCTGATTCTAAATATGAGGATTATTTTTTTAAGTATTGGTAGCAATTTCTTATTTATTTAGGTTTTATTCTTTCTTTTGGCATTCCTTTATGTCCAGATACAATCTTCTCGCCTCTCTCTTTTTCACTTCCTGCTGTCATCAGCTACTTCAAAAACACGAGAAACATAAAATCAAAAGTCAATCAATGATAGGAGTAGATATGTGTTTTGTGTTTTAAATTCTAAGGTACTGCCTGTACTTCTGGGGAACAATAATTTTAGCCAGGCTATTTATTCAGAACACTTACCCACATTAGCAAATATGCAATTTAAGTATCAGCAACAGTGAAAATCATAGATACATTACAGGAAATCATAGATTTGAAAGTAAAGATAGCAGAATAGTGATTTTGCACTCTGAAGACATTATGTGTAGATAGATCATGATGGGCATGAAGTGAATTGGGATTGCAATCTGCCTCTTAAATCAATCATGCATGAAACAAAAAAAGAGATAAATATTTGAAAAATGATAGTTTTTTTTNGGAAGAGGAGGAACAGCTGGGTCCAGTGCCTGGCACACGCATGTGCAGAAGGCAGAGGAGAGGAGAGCAATGGAAATCTATGGGCTGATCCTTGGGACAGAAGAGCCACCACTGCTCGTGAAGCCCCACCCAATCCGCTCTGGGGATAAAAAGCAGGGGGTGGAGATGTGTCAGACAATTATTCATCTTCCAACCAGACCGACTTGTTAGCCTGCGAGAGAAATGTTTTGCCAGGGCTGCTTGCAGTCCCAATAAAGGAATCTTTTGAGTTCATATCAGAGGGTTTATTGTGTTTGGGAAACTGGGTCAAAACAGTCTGCAGTAGTGACTAACCATCCAGCAGAATTAAGATATATTTTTTTCCCAATGCATTGGGCATAGCTGTCTTAATTACCAGTAAGGATATTTTGGGCATGGAACAGAAGAGAGGCTCTGATGAGTTTCAAGTGAAATTCTAAACAGGGATTCAGCTCGGACAAAGAGCTATAGGTAGGGACACATTGCTTTAAATTAGCTGCCTGTTAAGTTCTTTCTGTAGCTAAAGGCGATTGCAATGGCCTGGCTAATTTTGCCTTTTTTAAAGGCCCAGGGCACTTCACATTGCCTATAACTGCAGCATAATCCTAAACTTGCTTATTTGGAAATCTTTAACAGGCTTATCTCTAGGGCAGTGTGATTACAACATGACTGCTCCTTATATAACTTAAAATAAAAACCAACGGCAATTGTATGTTTTTTAAAAAAGTATATTAAAAGCGATTACAGTATCCATCTCTTACCTTTTTGACCCAACCGTACGTGTTCATTTTCATAAAGCTCTAAAATGTAAATAAGAATAAAATAAAACGATTAGTTCTAGAAGAATATTTTACATATCAGCATTGCTTATTTTAACATGTTACAGACATGTGCGAAGATTCAAATGAACATGCATAATCACATTCATGAGGAAAAAGGTGTAATTTCTATTTAAGAGATTTAAAGTGTGCCATTTTACAGCAATAGTTAAGAAGTCCCTACAGGCCAAAAGTTATGATATTTTAATTTTGCTGATTATGTTACCAAAGTTGGTCTGAAAAGCAACCTTTGTATTGTATTCTAATTGTATTGCCAGCAAGGAGCTCTTCCTATAAAATGCACAAAACAGGGAAAAGAAAGATGTATAAACCTATACAGAAAGTCCAGTTGTATCTCAAAAAAGCACCATTTGGGATCTCTTGGATGAAGTGAAATGTTTTTAAAGAAAGAAAAAAAAAACAAAGAAAGACCAGTTGCCTTTTGAAAAGCATTTTTGGGACAAGTGGGCCGCAGAATTCAGGAATGATGGCCTGGTAACCAGGCACCAGTCCTGAAGGATTTATTGGAAAAATCCAGCACCACGGAAAAGAAGAAGGTATACTATGTTTGAAAACTGTTCTATAATAGCCTGCTAAGTACATAGAGTATGGTATAAATAAATATATACAAAGTTTGAAAAATATATACAAAGTTTGAAAAAAAGGAATTTAAACGAT